CCCTCCCAGGCCTCACCACCTGCGATCCTGGCTGAGTGCAGCAGCCCCTCTTCCAGCTGTGGCCGCCACAGAGGCCCCCTGCCGGCTCCCTCCGGCATCCCCCGCCTCCGCAGGCCCTCTTGTCTTGAGGACACGTGAATCTGCAGTGTGTGCACACACTGACGGTGTGTGCACTGGGCAGGTGACCGAGCCCGCCGAGCCTCGGTGCCCCCGTCACAGGGGAAGGGCCGTACCTGCCCCACAGCTGGTAGGGAGGACCAAAAGGCAGGACGGGCGAAGGGCGGCTGGCACAGTGCCTGGCTCCTGGCCGGGACTCACTGCCTGGGGCTGATGGTGCCCACGATGGTGCTGGTGATGAGCAGGCTACCTGGAGGGCACAGACCAGACACCTTGGCGTGTCATGAATACGAGGCGCTGCCAAAGGCTTCCCCCTCCAGGGAGCCTCCCTGAGTCCTGGGACTGACTACTGGAAACCCCTTTCCCATCACCAGCTGGGCACAGAGGAGGTGCCCAGGACGTGTGTGCGGCTACTTAAACACATGCCTCCAGAAGCTGTCTGGCTCCAGAAATCCCTCAGACCAAGCAGGAAGGGGGAGGGAGGGGGCTTCTTCCCCCAGCAGGCACAGTGGGCACCCAGGGTGCCAGTGCAGGGGTGAGTGAGGACCCCGGGGGCGGGTGCATGCAGAGGCGCTCTGCCCTGCTCTCAGCAGGACCGTCCCCTGTGCCTCTCCTGCAGCCCTGCCTCCGAGGGGGCCACACGACTGCCCGTCAGCCTCTCCTCTAAGGTGAGCGCCCTTGGGGGCTGGGACAAGCGTCTGGAAGGCAGAGGAGGCTTCAGCGGAAGGCGGTGAGGAGCTGCAGCCTCCTGCCTCTGCCAGGCGAGGTGTGCAGGCTGGTGAGCCGAGCAAGGCCCGAAGAATCAGGACCTGCGGGCCCGGAGATGGCCGGGAACTGCTCCTGGGACACCCACCCCACCACCAGGAACAAGGCAAGCACTGCCCGGCGGCTCCCGGCAGCGGGGGCTCTGCAGACTGGGGCGGCGGGAGGGGCTCACCGGGCCCAGATGCCCCCCCACAGCTCGGTCACCCAGGCCCCGCCCTCTCGCTTGGGGGTGGCAGGCAGCAGCAGGGCCCCTGGAGGCTGCATGGTCTGGCACCAGTTAGCGGGTCCCTGGGCTCCCCAGTGTCCTAGTCGCTGGACACCCTCGAACCCCGTGCTATGCGGAGCCCAGGGGCTCCGGTTACCAGCCTTGAGAGCCTCATTCCATGTCTTCCCTGTGGGGTGGGGTGGTCAGCTATCACCTACAGCCAGGCTCTGGCAGGAGGCCCTGAGAGGCCAGCTCCAAGGTGACCTGGTGTCACCCTGCTCTGGGCCACCCCAAGGTGGGGGTCCGTTGGCTGCAGTTTACCTTGGGTCCCCGGGCAGCAGCTGAGGCCGAGACTCTGACAGCCCATCAGGCTGACGCATGCCTCTGCCCTCCCTGCTGACCCCACACTTCTCTGAGGCCCTTAAGAACCCCAGAATTCCCTTCTGGGTCCCAGGCAGAACACTGTCAAGGTGGAGAACCCTTGAGGCTACCTAGGCTGGCCTCTCCCACATTTGAGGAAACTGAAGCTTACGCCAGCACGGTGGCATGACCAGGGTGAACCCCAAGGTCGGGGCAGAGGCTGGACTCCTGCCCGCGGCCCTGAGCACCCACCCCCCATTTCCCACCGTGCCTGCGGCCCTTCGCCTCGTGCCCTGGTGATCCCTGTGGAGCGGCAGCCTCAGGAGGCAGAGCTGGGCCAGCACGGGGTCTCCAGAGACCCCTGGAGGAGGGACAGAAGCCCAGGGCCCGTGGCAGGGGAGAGCGGTGGCAGGCCCCAGGCAGGAATTTTAAAGGCAGTTTGTGGCGGGGATGGCGGCTACACGCCCAGTGACTCATCACCCTCTGGCTCCGACGCTGGGAGGGGATTGCAGACATTTTCCAGCCTGTGAATGGCTCAGAGTGACCCGACCTGTCAGATGCACCCCAGCCGCCCCATCCCGTCAGTGGACCCATTTGGACGGCAGGTGTACCTCCAGCTGAGAGGAGCGTTCGTGGGCTGGCACGCTCAGAGCCACCAACAGGCAGGCTAAGTAAAGAGCAGGCTAGGGGACTGGGGGGCTGACAGGGAAGATGGACCAATAAATGAACTAAGGAAGTGTTGGGTGGGCGGTGAACAGGGCCCCCCTAAAGTGCTGCCCCGACCTCACAGAGCCTCCCAAAGCCTGGCCGGCACCCTCCGGTGCCTGCTTGCAGATTCCCCTTGGCCTGGGCCAGGACAGCAGGTCCCTCCCTCTGCTACGCAGTGTCAGGACCAGAGAACAATCCTTCAAGACCCAGCTTCCCGCCAGCGGAATGCCTGCCTTGAGGAACTCGCCGTTTGTGTCATGTTGGTAGGGAGAGTCACGGGCAATGGGAACTGATAACCAGCCCTGGACTGAGGGACGGACAGGGGCGGGGCCCAGGCCAGGCCAGGATCCATGGGGACGGTGCTGGGACCTGCTGGTGATGCCTGCCGGGGCTGCGGGAAGGGACATGGCCACGCTCTGGGCAGGCAGCCTTCGAGAGGCTGGGGGGACTGAGTCCAGCTTGTCCAAGTGTGTTTGGCCCATACGATATTTTTAAATGTGAACATTTCAAGATCAGGATAGTTGACATTACAATCCACCAAGGGAGGAAAGGATGACCAGTCCCCCTACTCTGCCCAGCGCTGGAGCAGAGCGCGTCCTGCTGTGCTCAGGATACGTGCTCTCTCCAGTTTGCCACCATGCACCCCACCCACCAGTTTCTTGCCCCTGGCCCACTTTCAGGTGACAGCAGTGCCAGCCCAGCCAGCCCAGACCCCACAGGCAAGACTGAACCTCGGCCAGACCAATTGTTCAAATAGTGAAGTGCTTCCCCACAGCTTCATAAATAGCCACCACCAGAAGTGTCTCCCCCTCCCCAGGCGCCCCAGGGTCAGAGCCAGATGGCTCAGGATCCAGAAACCAAAGGGTCACCGTGGCCCAGCAGAGGCCCCTCTCTGACTTCCCAGGTTTCTCAGTCCCACTGTGGGACAGGGCCCTGTGCCAGCTATGGCCAGGGTACACATTGGGTAGTGGGGGGCTGGGGAGGGGGGCATTGGGAGTTATAACTTACAGGTGACTTAAGTTTTTTAACAAACATCTTGTCGTTCTATGAGAAGTTCCAAGCCTACAGAAAGTTTGTAAGAAGAGTGCGATGCGCAGCACATACCCTTCACCGGCTCACTGCTTGTTAGCCCCTGGCCCCAGGAGAGTTCTCGCCACATATCTCCTGATAGACTTTCTTTCCTAGGACTCTTTGAAAGCAGACTACAGACACCAAGGCCCTCCGTCCCCAAATCTAAGGACAAAGACAGCTCCGCACAGAGCACAGTGCATTTCCTGCTCCCGCGTTTAGCCCTGATGCGCCGCTGTCACACACAAGCTCTCGCTCCCTGCTCTTCCCACTAACAGTGTTTGCAGCGACTGTCAGACCCACAGTGATATCTGGGATAACTGCCCTGCCCTTGACGGCCTCCTTCAGTCTAGAAAGGTTCCGCGGTTTTGTTTATCTTGCATGACATGACGTCTTTGCCGAGAGCCTGTTCTGACGGGTGGGCAGTCGGGTGCCTTGATGAGGGACTGGCTGGTCTCACTGTCACTCCTGCAGGCGGGCACACAGAGAAGGGGTGCTGTGTGGGATGAGGGGGTGTCTTCTGCTCTAGGAGGAGCCAGTGAATTGCTCCAGAGCCAGTGGCTCTGCGCGTGTGTGATCAGGACCAGCATCACCGGCGTCTCCCCACGCCCACACAGATGTGTCCCGGCGCCAGCGAGGCCCCGGAGCTCTACAGCCGTGGCTTCCTGACCACCGAGGAAACCACCACGCTGCCGCCGCCCGTGCTCACCAACTACATCTTCCTGCTCCTCTGCTTGTGCGGCCTGGTGGGCAACGGGCTGGTCCTCTGGTTTTTCGGTTTCTCCATCAAGAGGAGTCCCTTCTCCATCTACTTTCTGCACCTGGCCAGCGCCGATGTCGGCTACCTCTCCAACAAGGCCGTGTTCTCCGTCCTGAACACAGGGGGCTTCCTGGGCCCATTTGCCAACTATGTCCGCGCCGTGTGCAGGTTCCTGGGGCTCCTCACGTTTGTCACCAGCGTGAGTCTCCTGCCGGCCGTCAGCTCGGAGCGCTGCCTGTCGGTCATCTTCCCCACCTGGTACTGGCACCGTCGGCCCAAACGCCTGTCGGCCGTGGTGTGCACCCTGCTCTGGACCCTGTCGCTCCTGGTCACCAGCATCCACAACTACTTTTGTGTGTTCCTGGGCCGCCAGGCCTCCCGGCTGGCCTGCAGGCACATGGACACCTTCCTGGGCATCCTGCTTTTCCTGGTCTTCTGCCCGCTCATGGTGCTGCCCTGCCTGGCACTCATCCTGCACGTGGAATGCCGGGCCCGGCGGCGCCAGCGCTCCGCCAAGCTCAACCACGTCATCCTGGCCATGGTCTCGGTCTTCCTGGTGTCTTCCATCTACTTAGGCATTGACTGGTTCCTCTTCTGGGTCTTCCAGATCCCGGCCCCCTTCCCCGAGTACGTCACCGACCTGTGCATCTGTATCAACAGCGGCGCCAAGCCGGTCATCTACTTCCTGGCCGGGAGGGACAAGTCGCAGCGGCTCTGGGAGCCCCTCAGGGTGGTCTTCCAGCGGGCCCTGCGAGACGGCGCCGAGCTGGGAGAGCCCGGGGGCGGCACCCCCAACACGGTCACCATGGAGATGCAGCGCCCCTCCGGAAATGCCTCCTGAGAGGCCAGCGCCTGGTGGGGAGGCAGGGGACACAGACGGCCGAGGGCCTCTGGAGACTCTTTGCCAAGGGACAGGAGCTCAGCAGCCCCCTGGGGCCCCGCACGCAGGGAGAAAAGCCTGTTTCCAGCCCTTCACGCCTCCTCCTCCATGGCTGAGGCTCCACGGGGGGCCGAGAGACTGAGCAGACACCTGGAAACAGACCCTGTGGCCCTACCAGGCCCCCTCAGCCATGCTGCCCCTCCAGTGACCCACTGTACAGACGCCGACCCCGGTGGGGGGCCAGGTGTTGAGGCCCCTCCTCCACCCAGGCTGGGCAGGGAAGAAGGGTGTGCCCAGCCCTGTCTGCCTCCTGCCCCTCTGATCAGCCCTCCTTGAAAGGGACACGGCCAGCACGGCTGCTGAAGGGCCAGCAGCTTCGCCTCAGCAGAAGGGCACCTGGTCTTCGTGCTCCATCCCCTCAAGGCACTGCGAGTGCACGGACCGGAACAAAACGGTGCTCCCCGGAGCAGGGCTTTCTGCAAACGGCGTCCCTGCCCGTGACGAAGCTTTTGGTGACTTTAAGGAGGGAGTGCCTGGCTGTGGAGAACAGCTGGAGATGGCCAAGGCGCTCAGCCAGTGCGGTAGGTCACTCTGTCTTCTGATTCCATGCCAGCCCTCCCGACGCCACCTCCAGAGCTCGCCATGCGCCCCAGCTGCTCTGTGCCTGGGGCCAGGGATCCGGCAGACTGTCCGAGCCATCTCTGGCTTCCAGCACCCCCCCGCAAGTGGGGACTGGCTCTAGCTGGCCACCCTAGCCCCCCTCCAAACACAGTGGCCAAACAGAAGTTTTATGAGACAACAGATGTATATCAATAAACCTTTTGTATCTTGCACTGAGGAAAGCTTACAGTCCTCTTTCCTGTATAGTCCTGTGCCCACGGACAGTATGCTGTCAGGCAGCTGGAGCCCCATGGCAGCCTGTCCATGCCAGCAGCCAGCCCCATGCAACCTGCCTTGTGCCCCCCTCCGGGCTGGCCCGTCCACGCCTCTGGGGGCTCCCTGTCCTGGTAGGGAGTGCACTCCTTTGCCACACTGTCCTCTGTTGGCTGAGGCCATACCCTTTCCACCCACCAGGGCCAGGGGGAAGGCGCCATGACCACTCCCCTGCTTTCAAGCAGCCCCAGCGCTTAGTGAACCCCAATCCTGGAGTTCATTTTTTCCCCAGGCGCTGCCGCCAGGCCTCCACCCTGAGCTTCCTGCTGCAATGGCTCTGAACCATTGAGGGGGCAGCCTTCACAACTCCCAGGGCCGGGAGGTCAGGGAGGGCTGGCCCCTGTGAACCCACATCTGCCCCTAGTGGGCTGCAGACCTGGGAGGGAGGGGTAAACCCCAGGAACCGGGCCTCTGGACCCTGCTCAGGTGCGGATCACTGCAGTCTTTCTGGGCAACAGGCCTCCTTTCTGCACAACCAGGCCCTGGAGGTGCCTGCAGGCGCCATCCACACCCTGCACCCCTCATTTCCATGCCAATGCAGAAGAGACACCAGCAGAAGCCGCAGGCCCCACCACTGCCCCTCCCTCCTTGGTGTTTAATTATTAAAGAGGCCAGGGAGCCGCTGCCATCCTGCCCCCAAGGCAGCCAAGCTGTGTCCCCCAAGCCTCCTTCTTCCTGGGTGCTTGGTAGAGGCCAGAGGCCAAGGGCCTGAGCACCACAGACCACCCTGAGCCTGTCTGGAGCAGGGGTCTGGCCCTTCTCTCCTGGCCACTGCTGGTCAGCAGCGTTTGGGGGTAAGAACTGCCGTTCCTGCCAACGATGCTCTCGTGAGTTGGACACACAGCCCTGGGGTCCCTGCCCTGGTCACATGGGCTGTTATGAAGGCCGACTTTCCTCTACCATCACCACCGTCTACAGTAATGAGCAGGTGGAGAAACACACTAAGCTAATGCAGGGCATAAATGGGGCCAAACTCGGGAAGTCAAGAGGAGCCCCAGGGAGGCAGGGGCCACCACCTCCCAGCCGCGGGGCTTGCCGTGCCTCAGCTTCCTCAAAAGCCATAGCAATGGCCTCACTCCCGTTAGGCACCAGGCAGCAGCTACCGGGAGGGACGTTCACGGGATCAGCCACACCCAAGCGCTGGTGGTCAGGGCCATGACTGCCATTTATGGAGGACCTACTATGTGCAGTGGGCCCAGGTTGAGAGCGCCCCCTACGGATCTATTTAGTCTTCACAGCAGGGCTCCGAGGTAGGGTCTGTTCATGCCCACTGAGGAAGCCAGGCTCACAAATGGGGTTCCTGTCCAAGGGCAGTGGAGCCCCTGTCATTGCCCCAAGTCCCTGGCCCAGTGGCCATCTTATCTCCTGCAAGCTCAAGCCTCTGACCTTTGTGTTTCCCATTGGCAAAGCAATGGGGTTAGGGTTCAGGAGCAATGTGTTGAGCAGACAGGACATGCCCATCACAGCCCAAAGACAGCACAGAGCGGCCTTGCTGGATTCCACAGCTGATGAGAGCGAAGGAGGGGCCCGCTTGGTGCCAGGCTGCTGGCGTCTGAGACCAAGTGGGGGATGGGGGAGGGGTGCATATTCAGCAGGGAGCCCAGTGTGCTGCCCAGGCTGACGCCACTTCCAGGGTCCACCTCCCATCCTGATGGCA